ATAAATAGTAAGGCCATAGGGGCATTACATTAAGCCAAAACAGTAGTGTCATATTATTGTTTGATTAAGGTTGGTTCATTTAGAATTCTTCATAATCTAACTCCAATGGAATTGGAAAGCATAATACACTTCCTTCAAGATAAGACCATTTTAGTCACTGGTGCCACTGGCTTCCTTGCAAAAAGTCTGTCTCTCTCTCTCTTCCTTGCTTATTGTGCTCATACTGATATATACTAAGATATATATATATATATATATATATATATTATAGTTACTCATTAGAAAATGTATCAAACTAATTTCTTAAAGTATTAATTTAGTTCATAATAATAAAAATAGCATTAACTTAATTTAACAAAATTGTTTTTTATATTATTTTTAAAATTGAGAAAATTAATGCATGTCAACATAATTAAAATCAAAACAATATTCTAATCTTCATAATATATAAGTAATATAATAAAAAAAATTATTGACTTTTGACTTAAACACAATGGATTGATTTAATGTAATTTTTGTTTTGGACAATATCATGAGTGTGTCTTCTTGTATTAACTATGAGTAGGTTCATTATGAACCAAATTTGGTTTGATTAATTACATTAATAAAATGGTTGTGGTTTCATCTTCTCAACATCAAGATTCTATGATAAGTTGGAATCTACTTTCAAAACACTTCGTTAAGCTAAATATAGCTTCAAAGGAATTTTTTTTTTTTCAATTTTGGAGGAGTTTTAATAGGTCAACTTGAAAATTTGATAGAAGGATATGCAGACTCGTGTGGTTTCACTTCAAATACAAATGTTGAATTGTTAGCATTTTTTTATAGTCTAACTATAGGTCAACAACGTGATTTTTTAAATATAATATATGAATCAGATTCATAAGAAGTCATTTCTTTTATCAAGAGAATTTCATTAACTCACCCTTATGTTCCTTTAATTTTTAAAACCAATGTCTTTTCAAGTTTGTGAGAGTCTTTCTTTCCATCATGTTTACTATGAAGGAAATAAAATAATAAAGTTTCTTACTAAAATAAGGAATATCTTGTTCGACATTTTAGTCATGTAGTCTTCTTATCATATCCTATGTCTTTGTTGTTATTTGAGATACAATGGAGACCTTATATTAAGAGGTAACTAATTTATTTTCTATTCTCTTTTGTTTTTTTTTTATTCTCACTAATAAGAAAAAAATATTAACCATAAGCACTTGAAAATTTAATTGCCATGTACAAATAAGTGGGACCAGCAGAGAAAGAGATATATCTTTTACATTTAGTAAACAATTCTTTTATTTACTTAATTATTTATTTATTTATAACAATATATAAAAACAATAATTTGTTTTTATGTATTCAAATTTTTAAACTATTTTATCTATATAACTACTTTCAAATCACCCTTTTTATATACTATCTTTTTTATTTAATTTCTATTTTCTTTCTTCTATTTCTCATAAATCTTCTATATTAACCACTCATTTCATTATTTTTTTTATTTTTTTAAATAATAGAAGCACTCCATTACTTTTAAATAAAACAAAGAAAGTAAAGCCGTAAAATAACATTCCTCTAAACTTTCAATTCACAAATATTTTTAATTATCACAGTTTAATAATATAAATTAGCCAACTGATCCGTCTTTTCTTTTAATCTCACCAATCCGAATAGTTTTAGGTGTAAACCCAAAATTTGATTTCAAATAATTGAAGATAAAAATCATTAACCGAATTCCTGAAGCATGTTATGGAAAAAATAGTTCTAGCGAAGGACCGACAGAAACAGTGCCGAATATGAGTTGCAATAGTCAAAGGCTACATATGACAATGAAGAAGAAATTTCACATCCATTTGAATTATTTATAGACAAAGAATCAAAGAATTATTTCTTTAGTACAAGAACAAATCCCGACAAAATTAATTTATTATTTTGATCATAAAAACAATTACCACTGTACCGAGAAAAAGATTGTGATCTGAAGAGATAGATAGGGAAACCTCCCAGAAGAATCAAACAAACATATTATGCCAAAGAATATAAATTATTTATTTTTCCTCTGCCCAAACTTAAATTGTACATACATGTCCCTCAGTTAATTAAAGAGAAAAGTTTGGTAGACACCAAATTCAAAAAGATGCCAAGAGAGGTAAAGAGAAAAAAAAATGTAAATATGATAAATAATATAACATGATAGAACAAGAAAGATAAAGAAAAATAATGTTTATTATTTACTGAAATTGTTCCAGCAACAATTCAATTCGAGGAATTGGTTTCATTAAACTAAAAATACAATAGAACTGAGCCTACAGAAACAAAATTGAGATGGTGGTTTACAATGACAAACCAAAACACCCATTATCTTCTCTCAAGTCCTAACTAACATGTATTATTCCTATGAACACATTTATTGAATAATTTCAAGGAACTTCTCTTAATCTCATTTCACTAAGCATAAACATCTTTTGAACCTCTACAAAATTATAAAAACTTGTTCTATGGTTTGTTCCCTTCCTTATCTTAATATGAAAGGTATAAAAATGGTATATATATTGCATCTAGTTCTGTTCAGCTAAATTCATTCAATATAAGTGATTTTTAATTTACCTATTGTTTTTCTGCTGATGCTGATTCTGATACTTTCTCAACAGAAGCTCAGCATAAAGAATCTCATTCCATGCATCAGGCACACCAGGGAGGCACCAGTGACTACAGTCTTGGAATCTCAATGGTGATTTTCTCTCCTCTGGTGAGAGGTTTTGCTTCCTATATATTGAGGGATGACCATCTTTTCTGAAATCTGTCATTTTAGTTACATTCAGGTATGTGACATGTGTTTTCATATACTTCAAAACCTTTTCCAATACCCTCATCTTAGGGGGGTATTCCTTCAAGTATTTCTCATTCTTTATAGGCACAGTTTCACTGTCACATTGTCCACCAGAATTCCATTGCCCCCCACTGCAGTATGATAGAATTAGAAACAAGTGTTAATGTGTCAGTTTTCTAGTTCTATGGTAATAATGTGCTCAAGGGAAATTCAGTGTCAAAGTAGTGAATGATATTGAAAGTGAATCCCAAACTAATGTGTCTCACCAATTCTCTTTACTAATTTTAGTTCTTTAACATGTGCTGATTTCCACTTTTAGTCCTTAAACTTCTTCTCTCGTTAACATTTCGGTTTCTGACGTCAACTTTTTTTGTTCATGCGAAAAGATTTTAAGGACTAAAACTAAATAAATTTTGTCCAAAGACTAAAAACAAAAATTGAAAAAAAATATTGAGGGACTAAAAACATGTAATCTTAAATTACTGTACAATAAAATTCAATTTTGTAAATGCTTACTCAATCACACACGTATTGTACCTGAAATGTGAAGCAGAATAGCCTCTGAAGAAGACCATAGACTTGGATGGATCAATGTTGGCATCAATCCATCTGCTCCATGTTGTTATAGCCCTTCGAAAAGCCTCCAAAACATTCAATTCATCATAGATATGACTACCCTCTTGGTAATAGTCCTTCCTAGAATTTTTCATGGGCGAGTTAGTCAACAGTTAACAAAGTCTTATCAAGTAGACTTAGAAAATATAGTTAAAATAAGAAGGTTGAAAGTAAAAAGCCAAAACTGCAATCTCATCTAAGACAAATTGTAATGCATTTACCCTTTAGAAGTTTTATCGTGAGTCCACCAGTGGCCAGTGTTGAAGATGATTATATCCGCATTTTTGTATTGATTTGAAGATTTACCAACTAAATCAAGCCGAAGTGTTTCCTTCTTTGTTCCATTATTGACTTGAACTTCCCATTCTTGAACCAAGAATGGGGACACGAAAAGCTCCACGGAGAAGTTATAATCCTAACAAACAATTAATATTATTACTAAACAAACACTATGAAAGGAAAATTTGAAAGCTTAAACATAGAAGAACTTGGTATTTACTTTGAATATGAATGAATAAGAGGCTTCCCCTCTAAAATGGACTCTTCCATTTGCTTCATAGACTCTGCTTTTGTCTTTCACAGAGTTTCTAAGGATGCAAATTAGAGATTCCCACATATTCCTATTGATGGAATCACCAACAAAAATAAGCCTCTTGCCTCTCAACAAATCCAGCATTCTATGCCCATCCAACCTATTAGTAATTACATGCACAACTATTATAGCAAATCAACAAACTAGGATCCAAAGAAACAAGAGAATAGATCAATTCAAGCATAGTTCCAAAGAAACTTTGAACATCATTAAAGCAAAAGACCAACACGAGTCTTATAAAAGAAAATATTGTCAAATTTGGACAAAACACAAGCACTCCTCAAATGGAAAAACTTCAAAAAAATAAAAGGATAAAACTTGATCACAATTATTTAGATGTGTTTCGTAATCACAATTTGAGTTTTAATTTGGAAACTAATATATATTGATCTTAATTCCCAACTTTATCACCCATATTATAAAAAGTAAAACTCCAATTTTAATAGAATTGCCAAGAAACATTTAAGAACCTGGAGCTAAGTTTTTTCCTAAACTAAAATTGGACAAAACTTGCATGCTTTTATTGTTGTTTGCAAAATATTAGAGATTATCTTGATAATCAAGATAATGAAGGTTTGCATTAATCGTTAATATAGATTATCTAAATAAAAACTCTAATTATTGAAAAACAATAGTAAAAAGTATCCAAGGAACATTTGTCTATCAAAATCTAGAGCTAGGTACCAACAGGTTCTAGAACAACAGAAAATTCACCATGTTCTACTCTTACCTTGGGAGGCTGCATCCATTTGGCTTCCACTTATATTTCAGATATTCTTTATCAGGCCTTCCATTTTGGATACAATCGAATTGTTCATCGATCAGGTTGCAAGAACCAGGTTCATAGAGGGGATAGGAATCATCCTTAACCCATTCCCCATCAAAAAAATCACACTTGATCAAAGACTCCATCTTTTCATCCTTCACCCTTGAACCCTTTTCATCGTTCCCACTGTTCTGTTTCTTCAAAGGGGAAACCGTGTAATTACCATGCACAACACCCTTTTCCATGTCCCCTCCATTCACCAAAGAACTCAAATTCTGATGGTGACTTGCCCCTGAAAAATTATGAGCAGGGTCCACACCACTTGAAGATTGATTAGTCTTCTTTAGAGGCTTAGCTTCAACTTGGGTTCGATTGCTACCACTTGATGGTTCCTTGTTCACAACATGATCATGTGGTTTGGCCTTGTTTGTGGTTGAATTAGTTTGAGTTTGGTTTTGAATAGGGGTGGTTTTGAATGTCTTTTGAGGGGGTTTAGAAGTGGTGTTGGTAGATCTAGAAGGGTTGGAGTGAAGGGTGGCATAAGCACTAGAGGAATTTGAAGATGAAGTGGTGGTGTTGAAGAAGAAAGAGAAAATGGAAGAGACTTGGGACTTGTAGGAAGTTGTGGGGAAGATGTTGGTGAACAAAGGAGATGAAGTGTTTGAAGAGGGATAGAAGGCCAAAAAAACTGTGAAAGCAAAAAAGGCAAAGGCAAAGACATAGGCAAAGGTGAGTGTTTTGGTGGTTTTGTGAATGGAGAAGAGGCTCTTGAGGTGGATCATGGGAATGTACTTGGTGGCATGAGCCATGAGGTTGAAGGGGTAGTACAAGTGCTTGTGGTTTTGGAGTAACTATTGAGAGAGAGAGAGAGAGAGAACATGTGATGATGTAGTCTAAGTTGTTATAGCTACGACATTAGAGGGGTACAAGTACAAGGATGTATCAACTTAGAATTGTGAAACGAAGGGATGGAGGTAGTGGTGTTGTAACTGTTTGGCCGGTGAGAGAAGAGAAAGAGAAGAAAAAGTTTGGTTTGGAAGGGTTCTTGAAATAGTGGATGCCGATGAATTCATTGTGATGTGATTTGTTGGGGACAAACATATGAGCATGACCAATGGTCATGATTTTCTCATTAACTGCAAAACTGCCACTTCTCCATTTATTTGACGATTTTTTTTACCTATATCTATAAAATGTCATTTATTTTTAAAATTTAAATAAAGTAATGAAAGTATTTTTTTTATCTATAAAATGTTGAAAGGAGGTCCGACTTAAGTTCTCATATTTTTATTACATTAATTTTTTCTACCAATCATTAGATTAATTTAGTAGTTATATCTTTTGTCTTTAATATTTTATGTAATTTTTTAAGAATAAAAAAGTTAAATTAGTATAATATTTTTTTAATTAAAAAAAATACACCAAATGACTAATATCATGTGTTTGGAAAGGTCTTCAATGTACATTACGAACTAATAATTATTTTTTGTATTATTTGAGAAATTAGGCTTAAAAAAGAATGTACATCTCACTTGTATAATTTATCTATTAATCACAAATGGTTAGTTATATATATATATATATATATATATA